CACAGGCCAGCCTCCCTCTGAGAGGGGAGACAGTCAAGACCAGGGTGAATACGAATCGAAGTTAGCCCGCTCTTAGGCAGAGGCTGGGGGCCCGGGCTTTTGGGGACGTGGTACTCACCGAGAGAACCAGCGGCAGAGCTCACTCCAAAGCACTTTCTGAACTCTCCCTTCGTTTACCGCCGTTACCACGGCAACCACAGGCCAGCCTCCCTCTGAGAGGGGAGGCACAAGGGGAGTGCCTCAGTGGAGCCTCAATGCGCATGCTCGGGTCCGTGATGGAGCCCTGAAAAGCATCCCCGGGTGTGACAGGTAACAGGTGCTGATGGGCCGTGGTCCAGGCTGCGTAAGGTGCTGGTGCGCGCCAGTTCCAGGCCGCCGAAGAGGCGGTGGTTTCCTGTCTACCTCCTCCCAGAAGATCGTTTGGGTTCAAAAACCAAAGCTACCCCGAAGATATCCCCACCTCCAGGCCTTTCTCCTTTCAGTATGAAACTATGCAGTTGAAATGAGTTTGCTGCAAACCTGTCAGAGGCACAAAGGAAGCCCAACTTCTTATAATGTGGCATCGACTTGACAAGTTAAAACGTACGTCAGCTTCTTGCGCTGTCCTGCACGTGGTCTTAAAAAACCGGCAGGATTTTACAACCGGAGCTTCTTAGTAAAGGAAACCTGGCGGAATCGAAGGTACATCCGGGCAGGACAGGTTTCTGCCATTTACTGGGCTGTTTTAAAAATAACTCTTTAATGCTTTTTTTGTTTTTTGTTGCTCGATTACCTCTGTATTTAAAGTTACCGTTACAACATATTTTGATGGTCTATCTATCCTTTTGAAATTGCTTTTGAATGATTTACACCACGGGTTTGTGCTCTTCAAATGTATTTCTTTTTGGTTCCAGGGAACTGTGCATAAAAGCATCGCACTTGCATTTAACATTATTGGAGTAATGATTTTATGTAAGCATACACCAGGAAAACTCGGACGTTTTCAATTGTTTATTTTGTGGGGAAAGTATGGAAATTGAATATCTATTTTGTTTTTGAACATTTGTTTTGTATTTCAGTTCCTAGCACTAGGGACTGAAAACAATTTTCTTGGAGCAGGGGCCACACTCGAAGGGATTCGTGTATTTGTGGCATCCAGCTCGTATTATGATCATAACCTTACAAAAAAGTATTTCTGGATGTACATAATATAATGAACACGTTTTAGTTAAGGTCACCACATATATTGTATTAGTAAGTTGCTTCCATCATTCTACCAGCTCAACACCCCCCCCCCACATACACACTTATCAGGTAGACAAAATCATTATTTAAATTATTTAAATCTAGAATGGACCTTTGAGACCATATAGTATAAATTCCTTATTTACAGATGAAGAAAGGAATGGCCAGAGAGCTGTCTCTGATTCTACATTTGCTGTTCTTTCCATTTTATCAAGTATGTTTTTTGCCTTTTTTTTGGTCATAATCCCCTTTTCAGAATGTTTTAAATGCATAAAATAGGATAACAATGGAGATTATATTGAAATCCAGCTATCAATTTTTTTTTAATTCACTGACTCTAGGGCAAGTAGGTGGCACAGTAAAGAGCTCTGGCCTTGGAGTCTGGAGGACCTGAGTTCAAATCCAGCCTCAGACACTTAACACTAGCTGTGTGACCCTGGGCAAATCACTTAACCCCAACTGCCTCACCAAAAAGAAAAAAAAAATTCACTGACTCTAGGTTAAGAATCACTGCTTATAGGGGTGGGGAACCTGTGGTCTCAAGGCCATGTGTTTAGCGAAATAGACTACCACATCAACTGTGAGACAAAGTAAATTTTAATTTTCTACATCTGTGGTCCCCGAACTCTTCAAAGGGTACATTTTCCCTCTCTTCTTTGGGGCCAGGCTTTATTATTGTGATTACACAGCATTCTATTCAGCTTTTTTTTGGGGGGGGTGTAATAGAGGGGGATGGTTCTTTCCAGTTAACATTGTTGTAGTAATTGTGTACCTTGTTTTCCTGATTGTTTACTTCATTTTCCATAGGATCATGTAAGTGTTCCCATGCATCTCTGCATCTTAGTATTTATTCTTACATCACAGTAATATTCCATGTCATTCATTTGCCACAATTTGTTTAGCCATTCCCCAATCAATGGGCATTTGCTTTTTTTTCCAGCTCTTTGCTACTACAAAAGACTCTGCTACAAATATTTGTATGGAATAGCACTTTCAAATAAGCTATAATCTACAAAAAGTAAGTGCACAAAGTGTTCACCATCAATCATGATTCCATTCTTCCAGTCCAAGTGCTGGTGTAGTATATCCAAGATAGTTTTCAATAATTTAGGAGCATATCCCAAAGAAAAATCATTGCAACATCTGCCAAAGGTATCAAAATTATATAACTTAGAGATGAGCTCCGGTAAAATAATGTGAATAAGAAACAAAGATTTCATGCAATATATACGGACAGTATGGAGATTAGTGGGAAATGTGTACCTTAGTGACTGAATTCTGTGTGACAGCAAAGAATAAAAGTGAATCAGACAAGGTGAAAAAATTCTGGCTGGATTCTTTCAGTCATAATCACAATGATTAATGAAAAGAGATCAAAGCTTAGGGATGAAATCTTCTGTGCTGCTAGCAATGAATTACACCTAAGAATACTAACTGGTCCACAACAAACCATGGAAAATAAAAGCTTTCAGCTACCCAACATGCAATGTAAAGATCATTGCATAAAATCTTTCTTTGGGGCCATATGACAAATGAGGAACACAGCAGAAGTTTGGGGACACAAATGGAGCAGTCTATTGTGAGGAATGATGTTGGGTGGGCAAGGATGACAGAATGCCCAACTCACAATCCCAAGGGATCATAAAGATGTCATTGTCTGAATCTTAGTATACTCTTATGTAAAACTGAAGATGATAATTACTGTACTATCTGCTTCACAGGACTGTTGTAAGGAAAAGCACTTTATAAACATCAAAGTGTGACCTAAATGTGAGTTATACTATTTACAAGTAATGAGATTTATCTAAATAGGAATTCAAAATGCTAAAAACACAACTGAGAATATTAATTTCATTTTCTCCCAAGTTATGAAAGTTTATATTTTCAATGAAGTTCAGCTATAGGCAACCAATATTTCCTTTTCCCTAGACAGTATAGTTGATTTTTGGTCATGTGGGAGAACTTACTGAGCTACCAATTAATAAATATATATCCCGTTCAAAGTACTGAGCTTGTCACCAGAAGTACAAAAATAAATAAGACATAGTCTTACCAGGAAGTTTTTGTGCAAGCAAAAGGGAACATCATTTTTTCCTTAATATTTTGACAAATGCCACAAAAATATAAGGCATTATTAGGTCACAGTCTGATACAGAAAAAGGCAATCACTACCTTTCTGTATTTCAAGTGTATTAATATAGGAAAAAATATTACATACATAGAAAAAAGACATGAGAATTATAAAAATTATAAAAATATAGATTATTGCAGGTAAAAATGCCTCACCCTAGACTGTCCTTTACTAAAAATACAATGTGACATAATGGATATGAGTATCAGACTTGGTACCAGGAGAATCTGGGTTAAAGTCTAGCCTCTAACACAAAATAGATGTGTGACCATGACCAAGTTACTAACCTCTAGGTTCTTTAGAAAATTCATATGAGTTGTCAGATCTGCATCAGTGGAAGGAATTTCCACAATCAGCATCCTTAGACTAATGAAATAACAGATCTGAACCAAAGAAAGACATTTAAAAGGTTTGTGTAATGCTTGATTTGGTTGCTTGTAAAGACTTAGTCTTTGCCATTACAGTGTAACCTCCTTGAGGGTAAGGACTGTTTTTTACCTCTTCTTATATTCCTAGTGCTTAGCACAGTGTCTAGCGCATACATATTTGACAGTGATGTTTATTGACTGATATAACTGGGATATGAAAGAAATTTTTCTTTGCAGAAAAATCTGTTAAGAAGGCCTATTTGTTGAGTGGGTATACTGTTTTTTAAAAGTCAATAGTCTCTTTAGGGATACCACATCCTGATTTTTATCCCCAATTTGCAAGCTCCCTGAAAGCAAGGACTGTCTTATTTCAACTTTGTATTCCCAGCATCTAGTGAACTGTCTTACATATAGTAAATGCTTAACGTATTATATATACTGTTGTATAAATACTGAATTCACATATGTATCAAAGATGGATGCAAATACCTCTGTTGACTCAGACATTGTGAAGGAATTAAAATATTCCTTCACTCTCAATGTTAATAAAAAGTAAACTTACACTACCTTAATTTGCATTTAGGTCACAAATGAACCTTAGAAAGTGGTTTTTTTTTTAAGTCTAACAATTGAAGAAGGCTGCCTGCTATTTGTTGTAACAATAATGGAAGGCTCTGATATGGATCAAATAGCAGGTAACCTATACATAGATAAATCAGAAAATGAAGAGATGAACTACCACTATCTTATCTCATCTATTGTTTGTTATTAATTATGAGGACTAGTCCGGTGATGACACTGGTAGAGAGAACTCATAGATGAAGAAACTCCCTCTACCAATGCAGGTTTGCACATTCTCTCCAACTCATCATTTCAGAAAGTTTTCTAGAGCACTGAATGTTTTGACCAGGGTCACACAGACAGGAGGCATCAGAGGTGAATCTTGAATCCAGATCTTCCTGGCATTGAGGCTGGTTCTTTATACACTATATCATATTGTCTCTCATTCTCATTTTTAAGATGTTTACTTTTCTAATTTGTCAGGAGAGAAGTGACATGAATATGGTGAGTGCTAAAATCCACAACCTACCCACTGGGTAAAATGTGGGATTGGTGGCTACTGTAGAATCTTGGGCTCAGAAGAACCAGAAACTAAAATTAGATAATGGACCATTGGGAAAACAGTAAACAAAAAGCAGAGTAAGAGAATGAGTTCATTGATCAAAATGAGTTGTGTGATTCTTCAGAAGTACAAAAAAGGGATGAGACTAGAAAGGTTTATGACTCAGATTGGGATAACATTTATTAAGGTACCAATTATACACAGTGCAGTGCCAGTTAAAACAAAAGACTGAATAAGAATGGAGGAGGACAAGCAAATTATACATATGGTTTCATGGAAATATATTCAGTATTTCTTGAGGAAATAATTTCCATTTCTACCACTGAGCATGAGAAATAAATAAAAGCTTCAAGCAAATGTAGGCTGAATTAGTCAATTCCTAAGAAAAAAGCAAGATTTTAAAAATCAAGTTTTCAAGAGAACTCAATGCCCAACTTATCTGGGAATCAACAAAAGTACTTACCTATACTGAGTTTGCTTAGTGTCCCATAATGGCCTCTTTCAAGATAACACAGAGAAGGAATCATTTTTGAACCATAATCTCTTTTCAAGTACTAGTTCTAGAATTAACTCATTATTATTGCTCTTAGACACTTGCTAGCTTATTGACACAGGTACTGCTGGAATAATTAATATAAAAATTTAAGATTCAAATTACTATGATTTTTTATTTAAAATTCACTGCACACCATTATAGATAAAAGTTTACATTTAAAAAACACATAAGCATATTCTATAATATATACAACTATTCTCATCTACTGAAAACACAAACATACTCACACATCCATTTAAAAAAAAATAACTCTATAAACAATGTGCTCAAAAAAAGGTGGGAGAAAGCAGTGACTTTCAAAGCAGTAAGTCTGAGACCAAGATGATGTTAAAAGTTTTTCCATAAGTCAGTAATTATACTCAAACCAGAGAGAAAACTTTTATTACAAAGATTGACCCACAGCAACTCTGTTTTTTAGAAAAAAAATTTAAAAGATGTCAAAGATGACATTTATTATGTAACCAAAAACAGGAATTCAATTTGTTGTAGGTACAAATGTCATAGAGTTTTTTTTATAAAAAATCTAATCATGAGAAATTTAAAAGGCTTGTTATGTCCTCACACTGACTGGAATGTAATACTTTAATTCCCCACTTGTCAAATTTCTGTTCAGAAGGGCTGTTTCTTAAATAGGTATTCTTCCAAAAGGTCAACATTCAAAATAAATGCAGAAATATGACAAATGTTTTACTTCTGTCCACCAGAAGAACTGATGCATTGGTTTTTGTGTGCTAATTAAAGGAATAATAACATGAAAAAGCAGGGGGGGGCTGGGAAATGGAAGTTCATGAAGAAAATATTTAAAAATAAAACAAGATCTGTAAAACATGACTTCACTTATGTCACATGTGTAGAGAGAGCAAACCAGCCTTCTTCTCTTTGCTTTTCAACCTGTTCAACAGAGGCAGAGAGGATTTAAATAAATTATCTGAAGAGTCGTACAATATACAGAAGATCACTCGGTTTTCAGAAGTTAAAGTAAGCAAGTTAAATACATCATATCAGACAATCAGATTTTAATTGCAATTGCTACTGCCTAAAACTTTTATCCTCTACTAAGAAAGTGATCGCCAAATAAAATATCCTGGAGAAGGAACAGATAATCTCTCACTTTTTAATCTTGAAGTTTTTTGTTTTTAAAGACTGATCTGTGTAACCATATCATGGACACAAACTAACAAGGAGAAAAAGAAGTAATGTTTTCCTAGTGCAGGTAAAAGGGATAAATTACACAGGATATCCATAACATTTTGCTAGCATATAGGAAAAACAACAGCCAATCTTAGTGGTATGAGGCAAGTAAGATGCACTTAAGTACTTATTAGTTTCTATATTACTTATTTTTGGACTGTACCTATGCTTTCATTAGGGGGATTTCAGTATTGGGAATTAATTACCACAGAGGAAACTTTCTCTGCCAATGCAAACTTAAGAGGACTGGAAAGCTGCCTGGGGCATAAAATGGCTAGTTAAGTCACCTGACCAGGCATTAGGTGTCAGAAGCAGGATGTAAGAAGATTCCTAGCGATTCTTCCTCAGAAATGATTGTCAGAGACACAAAATTTGATTTGTTGATTTGTTGTGTCTGGTCATAACAGAAACTTTTAAATATGTTACAAGATATAAAACTTATATATGTTCCTATAGCACAATTAGACATATGAAAAACACTCATAAGAGACATCCATCCTTCAGGCCTGGGCTTCTTAAACTTTTTTCATGCACAACCCCTTTCTGAGTTTCAGGAGCACTTGCTGGTATTGTGTGGCATGAGGGCATGCACAGCGCAAAGTACGAATGCAGTGTTTAGAACCAACACAGGCAAACACTGCCAGAAACACCTTAGATTCATTACACATTTGATTTTTAATTTATTTTTGGTCACTGAACATTCAGAAACCTTTTACTGTTGCCAAATTTTTCACAACCCCATGTGGGGTCTTGACCCACAGCTTAAGAAGCACTGCCTTAGGCCATTATTATCCTAAACAATATTTTTGGACTTGTCACATTTTTTTTTAAAATCTTACAACTTAATCTTTTCTCCTCAATCCATAATACCACCATGTATACTACACTCTTCACACACAAAAAAGTACTACAAGAGATATTAGTAAAAAGTCTTCATGAGTTGTCATGACCAAAAAAAATTCATCACCTGGGGGCCAACTTTCCAATGATGAGCATCTCTTAACCTGGGTGACTAGTCAAGGTTAAGAATTAAAGTCCTAAAAGAAAAATAATTCCTTCTCCCACTAATCGCTGTCCCACCCCCATCCCAAAGCGATAGCACAAATATAACAGGAATGGCAAAGCACTGCAGTCACTTTTTCTCACGTACCTTTGCCCTCTGACTGACAGGTGTAAATCGTCCACTCCCTGAAGTCGTATTTAATGGAGAGCAGGAATAACTGGTGGCACCTGAAGATCTAGTCATAAAGAAGAAAAAAAGAGAAAGCTATCATATTCAACACTCAAAACTGGTGTAAAACTATTAAAATGTTGGAACTTGGCACAAAGAGCACAATGAAATTTTAACTGCAAGTTCTGTTTAAGTTGTGATTTTAGAGAAAAATGTTTTTCTCCTCTTCTACCATTTCTCTTCTAAATCTGTCTTTCATTGATTTTATCCATGAAAAACTTTTCCCCCTTGGATCTGTGATTTCTTCAGCTTTTAAGGAGGAATTTCCCTCTACCAACGCACACCAGCTCTGAAACTTCAGTCTTGGAGAACTGCCTGAGACACTAAGAGGTTAACTGACTTCACCAGAGCCACATAGCCAGGATGTTGCAGAGGCTCCAATACAAGTCAACAAGTATTTATTAAATACCTACTATGTGTAGGGCAGGCTGCTAAATGCTGACAATGCAAAGAAAGGGAGTAGGGGGGAAGTTGCTGCTCTCCCAGGTATTTTATGCTTTGACTAATAATTTTAAATGTAATTTCTCTTTCTAGTTTCTTGTTAGATTTTGTTGGTAGAACACAGAAATGATGATTTATACCCTACAACTTTGCTGAAGTTGTTGTTTCTGTTAGTTTCCTACTTGGTTCTCTATGGTTCTCTAAGTAAACCATTATATCCTCTGCAAAAAGTCATAATTATATTTTCTCTAAACTTGTGCTTACTCTTTAAATTTCTTTTTCTTGTCTTATTGCCATAGCATGCATTTCTAGTACTTTCTACAGCACACTATAGCTTCACAGTTATACAAATGACTTGGCCCAAAGAACATAAGAACTTTCTAAGTCTACATTTTTAATTACCAAAAAACCAAAACAACCTACCAGCATTTGTTTGGCAAAGCAAAACACTGCCTTTAAAGGCTATTCTTCAACAAGGTGTTTCAAATGCTAAGATCATACAAGATTACTGGATAAATGCAATTACAGAGATAACTTTGTTCAATACTCCCAAATATCATTACCAGTGATGAAGCAAGCAGATGTATGTTTCTTAGTATCTGAGAGCCTGTCTTGTATAAAGTTCAAATGAAAAAAAGATTTCCTATAGAAGTGACTTTAAGGTTTTCCAGATGTTCTTTTTTGCAGAACACATTGTGATGAATGCATCAAATCCTAAAAGATTTAAAAGCCTTTTCAATTAGATCCACAAATATTCAAGAAAGACTGCCTTAGCAATCCATACAAAAAATCAAGTGGATAGAGAATAGGATCTCAATAGAGGATAGGATATAACATAGAGCTGGATGGGCCATTCATCAAATTAATTCATTAAGACATATAGTACAAAGACTGCATCTGAATCAAAAATTAAACAGGAAGAATAAAAAAGGTTAGCTTTTATTTGGAAAGCTGCCCAGCACTCAGAATGACTATACTGTTCCCCATCAAAGAAATCCATCTTTAGTAGACACTTAAATGTCTGCAGGATAGATTGGAAGAATTCACAGGATGAGAAGCTATATGTAGGCTATGATCTGCACTGATGTAGGGAGTAGGCTTATCAATAAGGTATACTGAAGTATTAAAATATCATCATCAATAAACCTTTCCTGAGAAACTAATATACACAAGAAAGTGGAAGCACAGAGGGATATAAGACATGATCCTATCTTCAAATGACTTGCTATCTAGCTAGGTTGATGAGACTTAATTACATATGAAAAGATCTATTATAATACAAGGTACATGAGCTAAGAGCAAAGAGAGGTATAGAAAAATGTTAAAGGAATTCAAAGAAGGGATCAATCACCAAAGATTGGAGCAACCCAAGAAAGCTTTATGAAGGAGATGGCATTTAGCCTGGACCCTGACAGGAGAAAAGAGGATATTCTAGGAAGGGAGAAAGGCATAAGTGAAGACATCAAGTTGGTCATATGCAGTATGTTCAGTGAACAGCAAATAGGCTAGTTTGGTAGAAGCAGAGGATTCCTATAAAGCAGAGGTTCCCAAACTTAACTGGTATACCGCCCCTTTTTTCTCTCCTTTTTTTTTTTTTGCTTTTTGCTAGGCAATGGGGTTAAATGACTTGCCCTGGGTCACACAGCTAGTGTCAATTATATGATTTGAACTCAGGTCCTCCTGACTCCAGGGCTACTGCTCTATCTACTGCACCATCTAGCTGCCCCCCTCATACTGCCCCTTTAAAAAAAAAAAAGTTACTCAGCACCTGCCTTGGAAATCTACTTTCTTTAACCTTTTAATGGTTATTTTTTTAAAAATTTACATCATTTCAAAAAAAAACCATAAATTTTTTTAAATGACGTATCTTAAATTTAATAATTTATTTAAATTTGGGGGGGGGTTCCTGTATTGAAATTTTGATGACAAAGTATTGTATCATGAAACTGTATATTATTGTATTGTAAACAAGTCATTACACGCACATATTCCTGCTGATGCACACTGGATTTCCAACAATGTGCCACATGCTCACCTGCCAACACTTGCTTGTTAAGACCTGTCGGCAGACTTGACCACTGATTGGTTATAACTTGCATTTTGTGTGGTTATCTGGAAAACAATATAATCACTATGACTTTAACTCTGTTACACATCAGATAAAACATGTACGAATGGTTTTTTAAAATTTTCTTCTCTTCCTTCCTTATGTTTCACCGCCTCCTTATTTTTAGTCAATGCCCCCCAACTGCACCTGAGGCTACTACTGCTCCCCTGAATCGTTCCAGCATCCCCCAGGGGGGTGGTACTGCCCACTTTGGGAACCTATGCTATAAAGGATAAAGTAGGTAGGAGTTCAAATATTAGGATAAAGTACTTAAACTCTAACTCTAGAGTAAATGGAGAGTTTTAAAAGTTTTTGTACGTGTAGTTTACAGAAGTAAGGCAGTGTTTTTGAAATCTAGCAGCACTTTGTAGCTTGGAATAGAGACAGAGATCACCAGGAGGCTACTGCTCTAATTTAATTATAAGGTAATGATTGACTGTAGATTAGGGTAGCAGCAATAAGTTTAGAAAGGAAGAGACAGATATAAGGAATAACATGAAAGAAGGCTAAACAGGACTTGGAAACTAACTGGATGTGGGAAGGGATAAGCAAGTCAGATGACTTCAAACTTTCAAATTTGAAAACTGATGGTACCACTGACAAAAGGAAGAAAAGCTAGAGAAGGAGCTGATGGGAGGAGAGCTGGTTGTGGCAGGATGAAGATAATGAATTTAGTTGTAGAAGTATTAATGTGGAGGTCACAATGGGTAACCCAGGTGGTATATAGAGATAGAACCATAAGATTTAGGGTTAGAAAGAACCTCAGAGGTTACCTAGTCACCTAGTCCTATCCCCTCATTTTATACTTAAGAAAACTGAGCCCCAGAAGATTTGCTCAAGGTCACAAAAATAATAGCAGAGATGAAGGTCCAACAGATTCTCTGATTCTGAATCCAATGCTTTTTCTACCACACCATGCTATCCAGAGGGTAGGAAGAAATATAAGACAGAGGCTCAGGTGATGTAGGAGAAAGATATTTATATGCACTACATATATACACACACATATATATGTATGCATGTGCATATATACAATATATAAAATATATACAAATCACGTAACTTCATAAGTCCCTTACATTTTCACCACGGAGACTGGTAATATATTAGTTACCAATTACCTATGAAGAGTGTTTATCTTTCCAATTTAAATGAATATGCATTAATTCTTAGTTGCTTTTTAATTCTTCCTAATCCTAATTTATAAATTCCTAATGCTGAAAGACACCTTAAAGATTTTCTAACCCATGCCCCTGATTTCATAAAAGAAACTGATGCCCAGAAAGGTTCAGTGATTTGCCCTATGTCACATAGCTAGATGTTATGAGAACTATGATCTGAATTCAGGTCTTCTGATTCCTAGAGTCCAGTGCTTTTTCTTTCCATTTTTGAATAGATTCTTCAGAAAACATGGCAATTTCTCAATCTCAGGACATTTAAATATTTACAAAAAAAGGTAAATAATTAGAAAAGAACCCCCTTTCCTTTATTTTAGGAATACTTAGTAGTTATAGTTTCAACATTCCTTTAACATCATGCTCTGCTTTTATCCACATTAAGTTTAAATTATTAAGAACTCTGTGTTTATAGTCACATTATTATAGAATCTTGCAATAATAAGCATTCATACATTTAACAAATATTTATTAAACACATTAAAGGCTATGTGAAAAATTAAAAACATTAAAACAACATAGCTGATACCCTAAAACAACTACAAATGTTGCTAACTGCAAATAAGATAATGTACATAAGTCCTCTGTAATTATAAAACACTATATAAATGTGAATTAACATAAAACCAATAACTATTAACAATAACAATAATAAACAGAATTTTATCAACAGAGAAACCTAATAATCACTTGGAATGAAAGAGTTTCCCTTTATTCTACTGGGAGAAACAATAAATTCTGAATTTAAACTTCTTTTCATGACTTCCATTTCACAAAACTTTTGTAATATTCTATATTCTTTGTGCATTTATGCCTTCATTTAGTATTTTATCATTTCAAAAAATTTTCAAACTCATTAGCTACTGATGTGAAGTCCTAACTGATTTGTTAGCAAACTCTGCCTTAAAGGCAAAGATCAATAATAGTTCTGTTATTCCTCTACAAAGTCTTGTTAACATACCAGTTTCACAGAGTTTTATAACTAAAATATCATCACTGTGGTACTTTTATGTTGGATAATTTCCCTCAAAGATTATTTTATGTGGAAAAGATCCATTTAAGGGAGAAAAAGCAAAGCACTTCCCATGATTCTACTGAATATAACCAATCTAAATATGATGGTCCTACAGGTATGACATAGTTATAACGTAATTTAACTGATTCCACATGCTACAACAGTTACATTACAATCATTTTTCACACAGCCTTGAAAACCAGAACACTGAATTCTCTTGGGTTTCCTGTGGCAGTATCTTCGAAACCAATTCAAAACTTACATATAAAAATGGAAAACCATCTGTAGGCTTAGAGGAATAAAAACACTATTCGAAAAAAATTGCACTGAAACTAGAATTAATAGCAAATTTCTAAAACAAAACAAAACTTCAATAGTTAAAGGCAGAAAATCCCAAACAAAATACAAAATTCTTACTGTCAGGGTGTATTTTAGAATGATGGCACTATTCTCATATCTGGTGTAATTTTATATGCCATAATCAAAGTCTTTAATAATGAAAGTTGAATTAAATGTGTTTTTAAACTGTAAGTTAATGATTATTACATAAAGAACTTATTAAAATTCTGTAAAAACCACACCTTTATGGTTCCTAATTTTAACAAATTTCCTTCAAATAACATATTTGCATTTAATTGTTGTTTGAAGAGAAAAAGATGACTCATGCCTAGATAAGCCCAGGTTCTTTACAGTATATAAGTGTGCTTGCATATGTCCTTCCAGTCAATAAAGTATTAGTTTCATTTAAAAAAGTGGGTTTGGGAGAACCGAATCTCCCTCAATTCCACTTTTCTCTGGAGCTTCTTGGTCCACAAGTCCTTTCATACCCAATTATGGTTTGCTCCTGACCTCTTTTCTTCTCTTTATCCAAGTAATCTACCCTCTCAACTAAAACTAAATCAGACTACAAATACCTTATCATAAAGAGTTGTACAAAGTGCCTCTCGTATTTCTGGTGTTTAATACATATTTATTTACAATAACCCCACCTTCTGGCATTCATCCCATTGGCAGGAGAAATAGCACTGCCTTTTGAGTTCTCTGTAGTTTCTGCCCCTGGAACAGACACCTCAATAGTCCTCTTTCCACCTTCTAGAAAATAAAATATTAGTTCCATTAATCTTCTCTTTCAAGAAATGATCATTCAATTTTGTTTGTGTCTTGCTACAATTTATATATTAGCAATCTTTTTGCTCAGTACTTTTTTATTTTTTGACAATTATGACCCACAGATATGCCTGAGTTATTAGAAAATGGAATTGTGGGGAAAAAAAATAATGTAGTTTTTGCTGTTAATAACATAACATCCCAGTAAAGTGAGACCCATGTAATCAGAAACTTTCTAGTAACAGAAACCATGGTAAACTTTTAAAAGTAACAAATGGAAAACAGGGAATATCTAAAAGAAACCCAAAGATGTCTTCAATCAAACGTCATGTGTCTGAAGTTTTCAGACAAAAGAAAGTTTTCAGATGCTTCTCTGAAGAGTTTAACATTTGTTAAGTAAGTAAAAGAGTTTAAGAGGTAATAGGAAATTAAAAAGTCACCCTTCTACTTGGAAGAAACATTGGCTTATCAAAAGCTATGCCAGCAAAATGTAAACAACTCCAGGTGGAAATGCTTCAAGAATGAGTCTAGTAATGTCCGTTGCCCAAGGACCATAGTATGGCTAAATTTGGAAAGGCTCCTCACCAAGCTGACTATAGGCTAATGAGTATTTTATCTAGGTACTAAAATAGACAAGAGCTGTGACCTGCATCAGTGGATGGAGTATCCAGACTGATAAAATCCTCTAAATATTAAAGCATTTAGATTAAACATCTTTTACATAGATGTACTAGACCATTTTACTACATACATTAGTTAAATGTACCAGAATAGAAGTTTCCTAAGGATAAGGACTGTATCTTAGCTGAACTCTATCTCCCTTGGGATCTGGCACAATGCCCTGTCAGTGCTTTAAAAAGTCTACCAAACTGAATTCTAATTAAACAACACACTACACTAAAGCAAGTTAATTGACTTACTATGCATAAATGTCACGTAATCAAAATATGACTCCTTTTGTCCAATGTATTTTTTATATAGGCAACAAGGAATCCTCTGTTTCTTAGATAAATATGTCATCCTCTCCAACATATCCAAAATTAAATTCATTTATCATATTCTTCTCCATCCTTGCTCCCACCAAAAAAAGCTTATTTTTCTATCCCCAACTACCAAGTTTCTTCAATGAAACCATCATCCTTCAAGTCTTCCAGTCTGAAACTTAGTCTTGTCACTTAAGTCACGTCCTTCAAAATTTTCCCTTTCCTCTACCTTCTCACTGTTGCTATCATAGACCCATCTAGTGTATGATGGCCAGTGGGCTGCATCTTTGCCTCAAATCTCTTTGTCCAGTCATCTGTCACATGATCAACACACTAATCTTCCTAAGACAACACTTTCTCCACGTTAAATTCTTTGTTCAAAAATTCATAATGCCTTCCTATTATCTACTGCATCAAATCTATCCTTTTTTCTACCTGGTTTTCAAGGTCCTCTGTAAACTAACCCCACTCTACCTATCCAAACTTATTTACCACCACACATAGAACCTGCCACAGTTTGGTAGATTTGGTCACTGCTGCTTCAGCCTCTTTATGATGCTGTTCTCTCTGCCTAGAATAATGTTGTTCCTTTCCATTACCATCTATGTCCTTTCCATCCTTCTAGCCCAGCTCAAATTATACCTCCTACACACACCCCCCCCAAAGAATATATAGATCCTAAAATATATATATATGTATGCACGTACATATATTATACAATTTAAATAGAATTCTCAAAAGGACATATTAAAGTTATAAAATTGCAAATTATAAAAGTATTATGAAACTGTAAATCCTAAAGCACATATCTATATTTATATTAACAGGTGTATACAAATACATATACGTATGTTATGTGCACCACATGCACATTTTATAAATACATATTCTACATACCTATTATAATCTCCTATGTGTGTGGATACTTACATATGCATAAACATAAGTAGGTATATAGTGCTATGTTCCTACCTACAATGAACTCTTCCTTGTCATAACCTCTACATTTATAATTTATATTAGATATTTAATATTTAATTCATAAATATTACTTTTGTTTTCCCAAATATATTGTAAATTTCTTAAAAACAGGACTGTCTTAGAAATATTTGTACCACAGTGATTTATATACATATATCCAATATCTCATGTATGAAAACAAAACTAAAATGTAATTTCACAGAACAGTTGCCAAGTTAATTCCCTTATAGGTAATTTTTTAATTGCATCAATTAAAAAACATAGTATTTTAAGTGAACTGAGTCACTGCTTAGTAACTATTTATTGTATCAAACAGTTTTCTAGGACAAGTGCTATATGAAAAAGTGAAAGTAATTAATTTCCCCTTATTCAATAAACTTGTCAAAAACATCTTTTTGGAGTCTACAAAGTGGTGCTAGAGGTCAAAGCAATTCTACTGCTATGGTCACTGAATCTGTAATAGAGGTGCTTAGAGGGAAAAGATAAATGAAAAGTTTTGCTCTTCAGGGTTGCATTCAGCATAATGTGCAATGTTACCCTAAAGGTTCTTTCCTACCTCACCCCCCCATACACTACAGCCTCATAGTCATGCTAATTATTCATCTACTGCTCTTATTCCTAGCTTTTTAAACCACAATACCCACCAGTCCATGCTCTCAAAGGTGAATGACCAGGGGAACCTAATGGAGGGGAAGGATTCAAACAGACAAGTTTTTGCTGTTCTATTAACTGCAGCAATTTCCCTCGAGCCTCCACACTCTGGCGGTTCAGTTCTGCTATTCGTTCCTCCATGCTGTTTGGTGTTTGTGGCTGCATAGCTGGAAAAGTCTTTAAAGAAAAATAAGAATTCAAAAACTCAATTATACTATCTTTCAGCATTTTATATAAACTAGCTCTTTTCCTCATAAGAACTACTTACTAAAATCATGCAAACAGTGCTCTCTATAAACCTGCATAGCCAAACAGAGCAGAATTTCATATTTTGCAATTAGAAATGTTTGCCTATAGCTATGGAATATTACTTCTTCTAGTGTTGGCACTGAATAAGCCCTTTTCCCTCTGAATGCATTTCTATGCGACTTGAAATATGTACCAGCAACAGGTCCATTCAATTTAGCTTATCCCCTCATGGGGAATGAGGCTGACAAAACCTATACTGTTCATCATAGCTTCTCCAGAATGTCTTCCTAACCTAGAGAGACCAACTATGTTGATTTAATAAAAACAGAGATTGGTCTGCACCAATCCTTGAAGGGCTGAGGGGGAAGAGATTTTCATGGACTGTTTGTTTCATTACACAAATGCATTATGTATGAGAGCTCAGTAACTTGCCACAAAGACTCAGTCACTCCTTAGATGCAATCTCTCCCTAGCTAATTTTAAACAGTACAGGCAGCAAAACTAAGAGAAGCTGGCCCAGGCCCTTCTATATGCCCTAAGTCAGGATGCATCTAGACTTGAAGGCTTGAAAAGCCGGCCAGAGATTTCAGGCTATTGCTCACCTGGTATGACATGGGAACAGCTTTCAAGTTAAACTTTACCATTTTCCTTGAAATTATTTATCAAATTGTTTCAATCTATCCATCTTTACCAACCTATTATTATTGATAGTATATCTAACTCCTAACACACTGCAAGAGGGTAGTAAACACATACAGTGAAAGGAGCAAAGAAGAAATAAATAACAAGGGAATAACTGTACATTCTATATAGGGATGCTCTTGTAACGTTTATATATACATACATATACATATATATATATATACACACACACACACATACATATATCAGAACCTCTGAATTGTTTCATAGACAGATGTTGCCCTTGGTGGGGAAAGAAGAGGAATACAAATTAGAGAGATCATTAATTGATAGCCTATGTCCACTAACAGAATAGCAAGACCGAAAAAAGTATGAAATTAGGAAGTATTCTGGATCACGGTAAAAGAACAAGTAAAGATTCTATACTGCAGTGTGACTCTGCAAGTATACAGTAATTACAAAAAGCAAAAGCATTTTTAACATTTTTATTTAACATTTAGACTGAGAGGTGGGGGTGTTTGACCAAAATAAGCTTGTGTCAAAGGCTCTTTAAAAATTTTACACAACTATTATCCTCAAATACTCAAAAAATAAGCAGTCCACTATTCACACTATCCACTATATCATAAGTCCTGGACTTAATAAGTACCACACACATACAACTAGTCAGCTGTACTGCCAATATTCTCTACCCTATTATGCCAGAGTTCTTGCTGCTGCTACTATCTGTGGGACTCAATTTCTAACTTATAGTTCCTACCCCTCTGTGATCCACTGCCCAGGAAAATCCTATTTGTTCACTGGAGCCCTGATCTACCCTTACTAGAGCTCTGATTGAAGCATAGCTACCATTACGCCTTCCTCATCTATCCCTTCATTCCTCTCCTTCCCCTGCTGCGACATCCACCATTAAAATATGGCAGATGCTCAAGAGTCCCCTCCCACGACATGACATACATACTCCAAAGCCTTAATTAACCCTTGTTGAAGTTTTTAAATTGCTGGAGTAAAAGGGAAATAGGTAGAATCCTATTCATGACTAGGAGCGGTAAAGATTTGCTCCTGGGATCCCCAAAACAGAATTCAGATTACCTCTTCCCATTGAAAAAAATAATAAACCTTATAGTTAGTTACACTGTAGGTTAACAGGCTTTTATGGGCTAGCCTGGGAACCTAACCACATTTTATAATAGTTTGTATGGGATGGTAACTTTCCAATCTACAAATAACAAACTATAATTAAAATTTTGATAAATAAACCTTGCATAAGTTGAAGACTGCATGTACATACCATTCTTTTACACGTAATTCAAAGGAAGGTCCAGTTTTAGTTAAAAAGTAATAACAACTATAAATTATGACAATTGATTAAATGAGTGTTAAGAATTCTAGTGACAGCTACAGAAGGACCAAGTAGGAATACTAAGGAGACATAAATCCATCTATATACTAAAGTTACTAAATAAAACCTGAATTCATCCCTAACTAAGCAATCTGTGATTGGTACTTACTGTTGTCATGTCATTTATATTTTCCAGTTTGGCCAGGTCCTGAGGTGCATCCCCTTGTTCCCCTGAGGGTCCTATAAAATTGTTCAGATGTGCTTTAATAGCAGAATTCTGCAGCGTTAACTCAGCAATTCGTGCCATCAGATCTTTGTTCTGCAGGAAAGGCTCGTTTGTTCTTAGCTGCTGTCCATCTCCAAGTACTGGAGGTTCTTCTGGAAAAGTACAGTTTCCTGAGGGCTGAAAATGGGAAGGAGGGCACTGGGCCTGCGGCACACTAGCAAATAAAGGCTGGGTTTTGTTCGCTAAATCTTCATCCATATGAGAAACTCTCCATCTCTGGGTGAAGAGACGGTTTTCCTCATTTGAGTTTGGAATTTCTACAGCACTAGGCAAGTTCTTCTTTTCCCAATTTTGTTCCTTCTCAGTTATTTCTACACTTGGAAGAATACGTGGGGCAGGACGAGTCTGAACTGTCCTCCTCAATACTACAGATAAGAATAAAGAAATGAGCAATGAAGTTCAATCTATAGCAAGTCCATGATATATATAAAGGTCATGAGCGTAATATGGAAATATCAAAGAAATATCTTTATGCAAGGATTTAGATTGCAAATGGCTTCATTAATTCAAACAGGGAACATGCCAGAAACAAGCCACTTATCCTAATGCACAGACTGATTTTACTCTACCAAATCATTCTGGGATGCAAGTTGACAAATTCACATTTAACAAATATTTTGGCTAAAGAATGGAAAAACAAAGGCCAAAGTATCTTGATCTGGGTTCATATTACTAGTTAAAAGTCTGATATTTAAAATGATTTCCTATTGTTCTGAAAGAATGATTCTTTATTCTCTAAAGGACATTTTATTTACTAATGGACCCTTTCTTCACACTTACATCTTTACTAAACTTTTTATCTAAGGATTTAAAATAATATTCATCATAAAACTATTCAAGCTAAATAGCACTTTGTACCTCTCTTATGAACTTATGTTCTAATTATGTATTACAGTTATTTATGTATATGCCACAGCCTCTCCAACTAAATTGTAAGCTTCATGAGTGTTAGAGCAAGTCTTATCTTTCTATCTCCCTGGACACAACCCAGTACTTAGTGTTCTTTGAATTTATTGAATAATAGGAGAAAGGTTGATAAAAATTAGTGAATTCTTTTAAAGAATTTTACAACTTTCAAGGATATAAAATAATTTGAAGTAGGCTAACAAAGTATCATCTACAAAGGTCCTTGCTTTAATGAACATACAAAAATTATCTCAATTAAAACACTGTAACAATAGTTTTAGAAACAATTGAAAATGCTTGGGAAAATGTTCTCTCTCTAAAATACTTTTAAACATTTTCCTAATATCTATGAAAAGGTCAGCTACATGAAAGTAAACTTCAGTCACCAAAGAATCACAAATTGCAATTAACTTCGATGCAAAAGATTTTATTGTATTTTATTTTTATTAAGTCTCTATCCTCATCTTATGTCCTCAGTTTTTAAAATCTCTGAGGAAGGTTTTTATACTAGGAAATGAAGTTTTACACTGGACTTAGTATCAGAACTGAAACAACTCCTATATATAGGAAGTATAACAATCAAATTTCATTATCATCTAAAGACTACCATCTTATATCTCTTCTCCCTTTCACAGCCAAAGTGCTAGAAAAAGTCGTCAATGCATATTGATGCCATTTCTTCACTCACTTGCCCCTGAAATCAGAGGCTTAATTAAATTCAAATCAATAGAATTTTCTAAGATATACTACATAGCAACTCAATATTTCTTAACAATTTTTACATAATAAAAAATTACCAATCTTTTAAAGCAAGTTATCCTTTCTCCAAGAATTCTAGAGAGAATTTTAAAGAATTAGAGCAGTTTTTTTTAAACTCTCAAATATAGTCAAATATAGGTAAAGTATACTTCAATTTACCAAACACCTTCCAATTAAGTTAGGTGGCTCTAAAACTAGTCTTTTTACATTTAACTTCAATACTTTTTGAAAGTATTGAAGTTAAATGACAAAATTTTAATTGATCCACAACTTCATAAATGTGGTACTGCCTTCAAAGGTGCCAATCACAATCCATCTAAACATTCTCATCCCATCCTCCTATCCTTCCACAAATTCTACACAGAGGACATAACTTGTGTACTGGAATCCTTTCTCAAAGTTCTTTAACATTTCCTTTTACGTTCTCATCTAAAATCCATGATAAAATTTCAGCTCTACCCCCAAAAGAATTAAAAACCCTCAATAGATTAAGTAGAAAATTTTTGGTGAGGTAAGGGTAGTCTTCCTGCCATTATCTCCTTACCTAAAACACCTCTCAATTTCACAGTTCCCAGAATATATGGCAGCCTTCTCCTTTGGTCACATTTTATCAACAGATGCTGTCATCTAACATATTATTAAGCAAATGTAAAAATTTCTTAAGTTTGTATCTTTGGGTTATACAAGACACAGTCATTCCTTTTATTCATTCTGTAGGTTAAAAATTATTAAATAACAAGGAGCACCCTAAGTTATATATGAGTCAGTCAGTTAATAAATATTTTTAAAGTGCCTATTATGTGCCAGGCACTGTGCTAAGCACGGAAAATTTAACAATAAAATTTCATTTAATCTAAAGACTTATATCCCATTTCTCTTCTCCCTTTCACAATGAAACTGCTCAAAAAAGTTATCAATGTTCATTAACTTGCCAGGTTTTCACTTTTCAAAATCTTGCAATCTATATTCCAATCACAGCACTGAACTGAAACTGGCTCTCTCCAAGGACACCAATGACTGTTTAACTGCTAACTCCAATGGCCTTTTCTCAATCCTCTTCTACTTGACATCTCCATCTTTTTGACCCCTTCCTCCTTTAGTTTCCAGGACATGGCTCTCTCCCAGTTCTACCCAATCAGTTTGACCTCTCCCTGACTCCAACTTAATTTCTGACTTGATGATCCTCTGTTGGGTCATCCTTAGTCTCCTACCCAAGGGACCCCCTCAGGCTCTATCCTAGGTTCTCTTCTTTCTTTCCTATGCAGATGACTCCCCAAAGGGAACAATATGGTAATAACCATTCTCCAGAAATAATCTTATATCACCTGCCTGCTAGATAGCATTATCTATAGATATCGTGTGTTATGATTAGAATTTTCTAAACATTTCTAAAACATTATCTCCCTCATTAAACTTGCCCCTCCCCCAGTCCCTCCATTTCTGTTGAGAGTACTATTTTCATTCCAATCAATGAGGTTCTAATCCTTTGAGTCACTGTTCATTCTTCCTTAGTCTTTATCCTCCTTATCTAGTTCCTAAGTTTTGTTGATTCTACCTCCAAGTCTCCTGAATCTATCCCCTTTTATGACCTTACATGCCCAACCACTACCTCAGAGGCTTTCATCACTTTCTGCTTGGATGACTGACTCCTATGTGGTCTCTGTTTTCAGACTCTCTCCTCACAATCATTCCTCCGAAAGGATACCAAAATTATCCTCCTAAGGCACAAGTATGGGCTTGTTGTCTTATTCATTATGTCACTCATCTGCTCAAAAAACCTCGAACCTCTATTGCCTTAAGTTAAAATACTAACTCTTCAGTCTGGTGTTCCCTCTATAGTCCAGGTCCACCCTACCTCTCTGGCCTCTTTTCTTATTACTCTTTTTCACATACTGTATGGTCTAGTGATGCCAGCCTTTCCCAGCACCTGGTATTCTCATTTTCACAAAGGACACGGTATGCCTAGAACATACTCTGCCTCTTACAATTCGATTTCCTTCAAGGCCAAGTTCAGGTTCATCTCCTACAAGAAGCCTTTCATAATTACCCCAATAATCAGTACTCTCTTCATCCCCAAATACCTTGTATTTACTATCTGTGTATGTTTATTCCCCCAACTAGAATGTAAACTCATTGAGGACAAGGACTATTTAATTTTTATCTTGGCACTCCCAATACTACACACAAGGCCTTTAACACAGTCAACACTTAAGAAATGTTTGCTGAGTTGAATTAGACAAGAAGCTTCCTTACCTTCCTGCAATGGAGGGAACTCTGGGTTGTTCTTTTGCCTAGGAGGTGTTAGCATAACAGCTGGCTCAAACATATGGGCTGGTAAACTATTGGCAAGGTTCAAACCATCTGTGGGATTTGGCAACTGAGTCAGTTTAACAGGTAATTCTTCCTGGGGGAATTCATCTCTTCTGAATATCAATGGAACAGAGACATTATCATTTACAACTGGAGCCTCTGAAGAAAAAGAAAAAAGGCTCTACTAAGTACACAGAAGTCAGGAATCACATCAACAATGGGAACATTCCACATGAATTTATGTATGTCTCCCTGGAATGCTAGGCAGCTACAGTCTCTCACTACACCTTACTAATACAGGACGTCCTCCATCACTCAGCTTCTGACCCTCCCAGCATTGAATATCAAGGCCCCGACTTCTAATTCCAGGATGCAGCCCTAGAAAGATGGTGGGAAAGAGAAGTGCTTTGGGGAGCTATCCAGGGGACTACAAGAAAACCACTTCAGAGAGATCATGTTCATCACTACAATAAGTTCTCAAGGTTCACTTGATGGTCATGATGAACAATGAAGTATGCCTACAAAGTAATGAGAAGGATTTTACAAGCCACACATCAAAGTCAATGTCATTACTTTGCAGTCATATTCAACGATAAAAGATAAAATACAACTTTCCAAAATCCAGTACGACCCAGACATGGTTTCACATAATTCAATACTACCCACACATATACCTTGACTACTGGCAATGCTTCTGACTGCAACTCCCCTTTCTGAGGCTACACTTTCTTCTCTGATAGATCCTATTACAGGGACACTTTTAATGGCATGTGTGAGTGAAATTAGTTGCTCATCAGTTGTTACCATGTACTGCTGGAACTTTGCCTATGGAAGATAAAGGAAAAAAAATAACAAAATAACACACCCATATCCTGAAATCAAAGCATCTGAATTAGAAAAAGGAAAAACAAAACACGTATATTAAGAGAAACTATCCAACTCATAATTTAAAGCATTCTAGAAAGTTTAGGATAATTTTATTCTAGTCTAACAGGCTAAAAATGACTCCCTGTGATATTCAATTCAACAGATATTAAGTGTCTACTATATGCAAAGCACTATGGGGGCAATGGGGAAAACAAAGTCCCTGCCCTCAAGATCTTACAATCTACCATATAGCAATTCAACTCCATAAGCTTTTATGAATTTTGAATTATGAATTTATTTTCAGGACAAAATCAGTTACTAATTACTATATTTATTTTCTTTATGGTTGATAAATTAGTGGTATAAGGCAGTATGGCCCCAAAGGCCTACATTCTAAATTGAATGAAATTAGAAACTGATCTAATAAAAGAGCTAGGTTCCTCTTCTCCACTTACCCCCTTTTCCTCTTCCCCCCACCAACACTGTAAGACAATAAAGAGAAAAGAAATGGCAAAAGAACACACACACACACACACACACACACACACACACACACACACACACACACGATAAAAATCAATTTAAAATGCAAAAAAGCAAAGTACCAATACAATTAGGAGATAGAAAAAAAAAAAGACTATGAAAGATATCCTGAGAAATACTTAGGGTCATAATAGAAATTAAAGAAATTAAACACAAATGACGATAAATAATAATAATAAAAGCACAAGACTAAATAAATAAAAGAGCTTTAAAAAATAGAAAGAGCTTTCTAGAGCACAGGCACTGAGGTTCTAGAATTGGCAGGGCCTTCAGAAATTCTGGAGCCCAAACCCATCATTTTATATGAGATAAGTGAGGTCCAAAAAGATTAAAATCATACAGAAAAGTTAAGAGAACTGGGATTCAAACTTAGGCCTTCTGACTCCAAACCACATACTCTTTCAACTATGCCACTTGCATATTTGGTGATAGTGAAGAGAAATGCACTCAAAGTTAACTGAATGAAATAATTCTGAATAGGTACTTCTCAATCTTACCCCTTTGACACTAATGACTACCTAATTACTCCTTGATACTCTTCCTAAATTTGGCTTCTGTAATTCTCTGATCTGATAGAGTACCAGAACTGGAGTCAGAAGACTCATCTTCCTGAGTCCAAATCCAGTCTCAGACACTTAATAGATGTGTGACCCTGAGCAAGTCACTTAACTTGGTATGCCTCTGTTTCCTTATCTATAAAATGAGTTGGAGAAGGAAATGGCAAACCACTTCAGTATCTTTGCCAAGAAAACCCAAAAATGGGGTCACAAAGAGTGAGACACGACTGAAATGACTGAACAACAACCAAACACTCTGATCTTACGGACTTTTAAATTTTTCATCACAACTCTCCAAGTACCCTTTTTCTGCCAGCTGCACTGGTCTTAATTCTTCCAAAAATCAAGACATGAACTCATGTCCTCTGGGCAAGGTTCCACCAAAAACGCCCTTGTAATAACTCTATTGACTGTGGCTTTTTTTCAGGACTTGACTCCGTTCTCCCAGAATCTAGAAGCTGTGCTTCAGAAGCCATTTAACCTAAACCGGATCAGAATAAGAAGGCCACTGCCACATCCCGAACAAGTGAACAGCCAGTCTGCACTCAACTACTTCTACTGAGACGGAAAATACTACTAACGTTTACCTTGTTTTTTATCTTTTCACGCGTAGTCAAAGAAGCAGACTGACAGCACAATAACACAATATGATAATACGTAGATTTAGAGCAAGACGGAACCATGGAAACCACTTAGTCCAAACCTCTCATTTTAAAGTAAGGAAACTCAGACCCATGGAGATTAAGTGACTTGCCCAAAATCACACAAATATTAACCAACATAACAGAGTAACATTTGAACTCAGGTCCTCTGAGTCTACCATTTTGTCTCTTATTTTGTATCTAAACAACATTCCTGAATCATCATATCTTGAATATATGTGTAATAAATAAATGAAATCTAAAATTTGAAAACTGCTACCCTATATAATATTTCTGAAGGAATTTTAAAATCATTATTAAGTACCAGCTTATTTAGTACATATGAATGTTTCACACAACTATAAAGGGCACACAATATAATTGCAAAGTGCCTCTTACAGATTATAATGTAAAAAAGTAGTAGTTCAGTTCTACACTACTCTACTGGTATTTAGCATGAGTCAATCCATACCATTTTAGAGATCCATCAGCTCTTTCAGAGGGTACACCATATCTGTGCCTCTTTCAACATTCTATATGTAGCATACTACTCAGTACACAGCAAGTGATCAATAAATGTTGTCAATGGTGATAAGAACAAATAATTAATAAGTAATTATGACTAGTTTCAAATACTGAAACTATAATATCAACAGCTATACTAGAATCCTTTATTAAATCTTTACAGTAGGTTTCAAAATAATCACACATTAAAAGTTTGGAATCTTATTAAAGTACTTGTAAAGCAGTATTTTCATCTTTGAGAAGGAGAATTTCAGCAGTCAGGGCATCAATCAATTCTCGATGATCACCTAATACCACTTCGAGGCGTTGCCTTGTATCTACCTCCTTACGCAGTTGCATCTCACTCTAAGAAAAAAAGGTAACAAATTCACAAGTTAAAAGGGAGAGGGAAAGAAGCGAGGATTATTCAAAAGAAAGAATCATGAAAAGTAATACATGCTTTAATACACAGAAATACATGCCTTATACTGCTAATCAGAATGATACTTCACATTTTAAGATTCCACTGGATAAATTAAGCTGCCTCAGCCCTTCTTTAAGAGAATTAAAAAGGGCATGATGAACAATGAAGACTATTCAGCTGATATGACACAATTTAAAGCTACTTTTAAAATTATTTTAAATGAGGAAGAATTTTAGACAATACAAACCATTCCTGAAATAACACAATTTGAAGACTGATCTCAATTGTTAATATCATGAGATCTGGTAAGAGAACAGTAGTATGTCTAGCACTATACTAATGAAAATTTGGGTGCAGATTCAAAAGTGAATGACTATAGATTTAAATTATTAAGCATTTTCAAGAGTAAGTGCACAAATAAGAGTCATAAAATTGATCATATCTTTTAATTCAGTATGGTTCTATTGCTAGAACTTATTTCCCATCATTTTTTTTAATGTACAAAAGGCCTATACATTTAAAAAAAATTCATAGTTGAGGGATGGAGCCAAGATGGCAGAGGGAAAGCAGTGACTTGCTTAAGCTCTACCCCAAGCCCCTCCAAATACCTATAAAAAATGGCTCTAAACAAATTCTAAAACAGCATAACCCACAAAAAGACAGAGTGAAACTAATTTCCAGCCCAAGACAACGTAGATGGTTAATCAGAAAGGCATATCACGCCAGGCTGGGAGAGGAGTGCAGTTCGGCGTGGGCGTGCAGGCCACAGCAAACCTAGACAGGCCTCAGAGGACAGAATCACAGGCAGCTGTGGTGGTTTCCAGACCTCTCAACCTACCAAAGAAAACTTAGAAGGTCAGTGGGAAAAGTCTCTTTCTGTGGTGAGAGAGAAGCTAGGTCTCAACCCCAGTTCCCACGTGGCCCTGGACCGGTGGCTGCCTCCTGAGCTTCCATCCCACAGACTGAGGGGGAATTGGGTGGCTGATTAGAGGAGGATTGCAGGGATCTCTTTGCCAGAGCTGAGGCAGGAATCTCTCGCTTTGCCCATGTTTGGATCTGGGTCATAGTTCTGAGAGGTATCCTGGGGCGAGGGGGAGTACTGGCCTGGTGGAGCTGGTAGTGGCCATGAAGAGGAAATTCTCCTCATAGTTCCAAGATAGAAAAGAGTGCTTGTGATCACTCACAGACCACAGCACAGGCCAGAAAAGGAGTAAACACCTTGCCCCTTATCACACCACCTTGGTAGAACTGAAAATTTATAGGTCCCTAGAAGTATCTCTGAAAACAGCTGTACAAACCCCCAAAGCTTAGAACAGTACATTCTTCACATTTGAAGCAGACCTCTACCTTAATAAAGAGTTTATAACTCAAGTAATTGGCTGGTATCATAAGCAAACCTTGCAAGAAGTATCAGACCATAGAATCCTTTTCTGGTAACAAAGTAGATCAAAACATACAACCAGAAGACAACACAGTCAAAGCTCCTACATCCAAAGCCTCCAAGAAAAATATAAATCAGTGCCAAGCCCTGGAAGAGCTCAAGAAAGGATTCTGAGAAGCAAGTAATAGAAGTAAAGGAAAAACTGAGAAATAAGAGTGATGCAAGAAAATCAAGAAAAACAAGTCAACAGCTTGCTAAAGGAGACCCCAAAAAATACTGAAGAAAATAACACCTTAAAAAATAGCCTAACCCAAATGGCAAAAGCCAATGAGGAGAAAAATGCCCTAAAAAACAAAACTGGCCAAATGCAAAAGGAAGTCCAAAAGCTTACTGAAGAAAATACTTCCTTAAAAATTAGAATAGAGCAATTGGAAGCTAGTGACTTTATGAGAAATCAAGACACTGTAAAACAAATCCAAAAGAATGAAAAATTAGAAAACAATGTGAAATATCTCACTGGAAAAACAACTGACCTGGAAAATAGATCCAGGAGAGAGAATTTAAAAATTATTGGACTATCTGAAAGCCATGATCAAAAAAAGAGCCTAGACATCATTTTCCAAGAAATTATCAAGGAAAACTGCCTTGACATAGTAGAACCAGAGGGCAAAACAGAAACTGAAAGAACCCACTGATCTCCTCCTGAAAGAGATCCCCAAAGGAATACTGTAGCCAAATTCCAGAGTTCCCAGGTCAAGGAGAAAATATTACAAGCTGCCAGAAAGAAACAATTCAAGTATTGTGGAAACACAATCAGGATAACACAAGATTTAGCAGCTTCTACATTAAGGGATCGCAGGGCATGGAATATAATATTCCAGAGGGCAAAGGAGATAGGATTACAACCAAGAATCACCTACCCAGCAAAACTGAGTATAATCTTTCAGGGGAAAAAATGGATATCCAATGAAATAGAGGACTTTCAAGCATTCTTGATGAAAAGACCAGAGCTGAATAGAAAATTTGACTTTCAAATACAAGACTCAAGTGGAACATGAAGAGGTAAACAGAAAATAGAAATCATAAGAGACTTATTAAGGTTGAACTGCTTACATTCTTGCATGGAAAGATGATATTTATAACTCATGAGACCTTTGTGAGCATTAGGGTAATTGGAGGGAAAAAATTATACATATATATACATATACATATATATATACATATATGTATATGTATATATATATATACACATACATATATATGTATATGTATATATATGTATATGTGTATATATATATATATATATATATATATATAGAGAGAGAGAGAGAGAGAGAGAGAGAGAGAGAGAGAGAAAGAGAGAGAGAGAGAGAGAGAGAGAGACAGAGAGAGAGAGAGGGAGAGAGAGAGAGAGAGGGAGAGAGAGAGAGATGGCACAGGGTGAGTTGAAGATGAAAGGGTCATAGCTGGAGAATAAAATTAACTGGTAAGAGAGGATTATACTGGGAGATGGAGAAAGGGAAAGGTAGAACAGGGTAATTTATCTCACAAAAAAACAGAAAAGAAGAGGCACTTATAGTGGAGGGGAAACAGAAAGGTAAGAGGGAATGAGTGAATCTTACCTATCAAGGTAAAATAAAGGATTATCTAATTGCAATAGCTATAGTTCACAGGCTAGCTACTACCTGAACTTAAAAAAGATGAAAATAGGAAGCAAAAGGCAATATGACGCTAAAATGTTTAGTCTGGTAATTTCTAAAATGGTGACAAGAGACTGAGTTAGCTATACAGTGAATTCTTTGTGCTTTCATTACAATCATGAAAGGGGAACAAACTAATTCAATCTCATTTCATCTATGCTCAGTTCTCAGCTGTGAACTATCAGAAGCAAAGTAAAATAATCCAAAATTACATATAAGTTTGACATTACTTGTATTTGGGTCTGACATATGTTTTGATCCTACTTACATTTTGGTTAGGCTCAAATTAAAACTACCATGTGTTTCCTCATTATGCTGACTTTCACTTAGTACCCAATGAACATCTATCTGAAGCTAAAATTTTATTGCAGATAATATTTAAAGTACAGAACCCTCTTCTATTAACTTACATGGTCAAGTGTTTATTGTACTTAGTTTGGTGCTTCAAGCTACTTTTAGGTTTTTAACAAAGTGAACTAGAAATTAAAACAACCACGTGGGCCTGCGCTTTCTCTTACCTCCTTAAGGTAGCGCACCAGCCGACAGAGGGAGCTCACTAGGGACAAAGTAAAACCAGTTAGACCTTGATTGTTTTTCCATCCCTTGACTTCTCGCCCTGTCCATCGTTCATATTCTTCCATTTCATGTTCCACTTCATGTATCATGTGTTTCAGGGTATCCAGGCTGGAGACATCAGCACTTGGTAAATCTGAGGTGGTTTCATTGTTGAAAGAAACATTCTTCTTCACCTTGGAAGAAACAGGTAAACCTGGTTTCTTCTTCACTGAGAGTGAGAAAGCAGCATCTTTTGATGAAAAACCAGGCAAAGATGCATTCAAACACCTACTACAAAAAAACCTATTCACACACACACACACACAACTGGTTCAGATTTGTAAGAATAAGAGCCATTTTCCAATTGATAAATGGTCTAAAGATAAGAACAAGCAGTTTTCAAGAGAAGAAACCAAGGCTATCTACAGTCATATTAAAAAAATGCTACATATCACTACTAATTTAGAGAAACTCAAAGCAATTTTGAGATTCTACCTCAAACCTATCAAACTGGCAAAGAACACAAAAAAGGAAAATGACAATGTTGAAGGGACTGTGGGAAAATAGGCACAATGATGATGCATTATTTGTGGGTCTGTGAATGGTTACAATCATTAAGGAACACAATTTGGAATTATACACAAAAGATTATTAAGTAATGTATGTACTTTGACCTAGATATACTACTACCAGGCTTATACCCCCCCCCAAAATTAAAGAAAAATGAAAAGGTCCCACACATAGAAAATTATTTAAAGTAGGGGGTTTTTTTTGTGGTGGCAAAAAACTAGAATCTAAAGAGATGCCTAGCAATTGAGGAATGGCTAAATAACTTGTGATATATGAATATGACGAAATACTATTGTGCTATAAGAAATAAACAGATTATCTCAAAGAAACATAGAAAGAATGATACAAACTGATGTACAGTGAAGTATGCAGAACCAGAAGAACAATTTATACCATAACATGCATGTTTTAAAAATGAAGACTTTAAGACTTTAATAAACTGTTCAAGAATAAAACAAGCAAACTCAAGAGAAAAATGTATGCAATACTGTAAAGACAAATAACTTCAAAAACTGTAAGAATTATGATCAATACAATGGCCATCCAAGATTCCAGGGGAATGATTAAATATATTATCCACCTCCTGACAGAAAGATAATATAGATTTATATAAGACATTTATAGTTTTGAATACAGCCAGTGAGAGAATTCGTTTTGCCTAATTACATATTTGTTACATGAAATTTGTTTTTCTTTTCTTTTTTTTCCCAATGGAATGAGGAATGGGAGGGAAAAAAAACAGATTTTGTTAAAAAAAATTTTTAAATAGAGGGGTGGGGAGTGCTACCGATGTGGATAGTGCTATATACATTTTCAGATGAGGTCACTATATTAACTGTTTTGCTTTGTTACAAGAGACCTCAAAAGACTTCACATGGGGTGGGAGTAATCAGTAAATGTTTGTAATCTTACAACAAAATACATCAATAAAAAATAAAAATAAGATAAGTTAAAATAAAATACATACTTAACAGAGTTTTACTTTTTATAATTTAGAAAGAGCATACTATAGCACCTACTCTAAATAAAACAGAATCAGTTCTCTACACAGTCGCTTGGAATAGAAGAAGAAATTTCCTGGAATCATTCAATAAGTTTCTATTTTAGCTTGGTAGCTGACCATATGCCAGGAAGAAAATTCTATTCAGCACCAAAATAATTCTATCACGTTAAACATATAATCCATCTTTATTAACAAAGAAACCGAACCTTTGCCTAACTGCTGTTTTTGTTTTCTTGAGTTAGGATTCAGCACTTGTCCCACAACATAATTTGAGTCTACATTCTGTGCAGGTTCCTCAGGTGGTAGCCTTGACTGGATCCTCTTGACTGCCTGAGTAGCATTCAAAGCTGTTGAAAGGAAACAACTTCACCTCATGTGAACAAAATACAAAGTTATTTAAAGTAACAAAAATATCAGTATCATACTCAGGCCAAAACTCAATTGATGCTCCTTTCATAACCGCCCTGTTTTATAAAGAACACTAAACAGTAGTCATCCCCTTCCTTGATGGGTCATAGGACCCTGGAGAGTGATGGATTTAGGGCCAGGAAACCTAAATTCAGTTCCCAGTTCTGATGTTTATCTGTAGCAAGTCATTTAATTTTTCTGTTCAAAACTCTATTTTCTCACCTGTAGAACAGAGATAATACCTCCTCACAGGATTGTTGTGAAGAAAATAATGCATAAGGCTTAAAGTACTATGTAAATACGAGATATTAAGAACAGTATTAAGAACACTGTATTGTTGGAACTAACCTCTATGTTCCAGTGATGGAGTAGCAACTGTTGGAGTTGTTGGCGGAGTTGTTTGTGCTGTAGCTATTTTCTGCCGCAAACTTGTACATAACTTAGATATGAATTCAGAATTCTCTTCATTTAGGCGCTGAAGAAGCCTTCAGACCAATTACACATACGTAAATAGTTATGGTTTAAGTAGCAATAAAATATCAACAAGTCTGACTGTTAAAATTGTTCAATTTGATTAAGTCTAGAATAACTTTTAGAATCATGCAATAGCAACATTTCAAAACACCTTATGAACTCTCCACTCCAATTCCCTTATTGTATAAATACAACACTGAAGCTTAGCAACTAACTGGCTTAAAATCAATTAGATAGTTCAAGCAAGGATTGGAACCTAACTCTCCTGAGTTCCAGCCCATTACACCAGATTGTCTCTAGATCCCAATAGAAAATACATTTTTTCACTTCCAGTAAGAAAAAATTATTAGAGAGAATGATACTGACAACTACAGAAAGCAGGTTTTAAATAATCAACACTATTGTACTACCTGTTTATTATTCAAGAATCACCATATGAACTTCCTATATAGCAGAATTCAGTACAAAGCGTGTCTATCCTAGTGCATGATCCCAAAAACTGCAGTATCAGAAAGATTCATCTACAGGTATTCTTGCTTATAAGAAGTCCGTCAGCATTCCTATGTTAAAGCAAGCTCAAGTGTTCTCAGGCAGAGAAAGTTACATTTCAAAGAAGAAAAACAGCAAGTCTGAAGACAACACTGCAGAATAAAATTGAGTGAAAACTTCATTACCATATTCCACAGTAAATTCAAAATGGATATACAACTTGAGTATTAAAGATTACAACATAAAAAAGTGGAAGAAAAGCAAATCATATACATTTTACATCTATGAAAAGATGATTTCTTAACCTAACAAAGGATAGAGGCAATTACATGAGATAAAATAGTCAATTTTTTATTATAGCAATCAATAAACATTTATTGAGTGCCTAGTATGTGCCAGGCATTGTGCTAAGAGCTGAGGATACAAAAAGAGACAAAAAACAGTTACTGCCCTCAATGAGCTTACAATCTAACGGGGGAGATGGTATTGCCCTCTAAGAAGTAACTAGGAAGGTGAGGGGGGGAATTTAGGGGAAAAGATAATGAGTTCCATGTTGGACATGTTGAATTTAAGATATCTACTAGACAACCTTGGTTTTGGAGGTGTTGGCTACTGGTCCCGTAACAAGGTTCATCATACTGCCCCATGGGATACACAGAGAATCTAACCACCTCCCACAGTGATTAGCAAGAATGAGTCTGGAGAGCTAAACACTCTGCAATGGTCAAGGAGAAGCTTCTCCAGAGCAGTGAGCCACCCTTCCTCCAACTGTAGTAGTCTAAAGACAGAAGACCATTCTACTTGTAGCTTTCTCTTGTTCCCCTTCTCCTCTGTGTTCCCACTGTGGATGTTTGCTTAAGCTACAAGCATTCCTTGGGTGAGAAAAAATATGCTTGCTAAAGAAAAAAAAAAGAAACAACTACTGCTTTCAGTGTCAGCAGCCAAGTCTGACTCTTTAGTAAAGGCTTCCAATTCCAAAGATGGAATATGGTCCTTAGAAGATGCATTAAATAAATAATATGAAATAGTTTTGAGAAGCAAAGAGTCACAGAGATTTCTTTCATATATTCTTACCTGTCTGTTCTCATATTAGACTGAAAGTTCATAGAGTCATCCAGTTCATTTTCACTTTCTTCTGACTGGCTGTTGACAGTTTCTTCACCTTCTCCTTCCTCTACTTCATTAAGAGCCTACCTCAGAGTATATCACAAAAAATTGTGTATTTAGATCAATTCTCCCCTTTCTTAGGCTCCAACTACAGAGCTACTAAACCATACAGGGTGGTAAGTCTTGACTTACTGCTCCTTTAGGGACCATAGAATCATTGATCTTGATCAGGGGTGAGCAAACTACAGCCTGCCTGATTTTGTAGAGTCTGCATGCCAAAAATGTCTTTCACATTTTTTAAATATAACAAATCTTACTTAAAAATGTAAAAAACCTTTCTTAGCTCACAGCTATTCAAGAAACAAGCAGTGTGGGCCAGAGTTTATTGACCTCTGATCTAATTAGAGCTTCAAGGAACTTAAAGATGAGATAGGTAGTTCAATATTCTTATTTTAAGGTAAGGAAACTGAGGCTCAGAGATTTTAAATGAATTGTCTAAGGTCACATAAGTAATAAGTAGCAGAATCAGGATTTGAATTCAGGTACTATGAACTACAACCTAAGGGTTCTTTTCCACCGTTACACATAATCAAAAGATTTAGAACTAGTAGGGGTATTAAAAGTTACCTAGTCTATACTTCTGATTTTATAGATGAAGAAACTGAGGACCAAACAAGTTAAGTGATTTCCTCAAGGTCACACAGATAATAAGTAGATGTGGATTTTAACCAACATCCAGGACTTTTTCTACAACATCACTGTTTTCTTTATTATATAAACCCAAAGGTCAATGAGAGTCTGCTCCCTGGTCTGCAAATTTGAGAATTGGGATCAAGTTGGGCAAAGCTCCCACCAATCAGAAAGGAAACAGCAGTTCTCCCCTCAGCCCCCGTTTTTATACAACACTAATTTTCTTTTGGATTAGGAGTAATATTGTCAGCATAAACTCAAAATCACAAAAGCTTCAATTTAATCTGATTCTGTGCAAAAATAAAGGCACATATAACATCACACTTATCCAGCACTATCAGGGAAGGTGTTCCAAATAAGAAATTTTGTAAATTAAGTATAATTCAACCCTTTTTAAATGCTAAAATACCATTTAAACATTTTGATGGAATCTTCCCAACATGTATTCTGTACTTTCCTGTCTTCTTAAGCAGAAGATAATAAATATAATCAACCTTTTACTGAAGAACAAGGGTCATTATTATCAATATCAATTACTCTATTGTAATTGAATAGTACCCTGAGGCTACCCTAATAGCTCTAGACCATGGTGCTTTCGTGTTTAATATGATTTTCTTATGTCTTTCCTAGATGTCAACTATCATTTTTTGTTAACATAATCCAATATGTGCTAAAAACACCAAATAATCCTAACTATAAAACCTGTATCTAAAATTGAAGAAAAGAAGCTCTGAATAAGATTTCAGAGCCTTGCAAATGAAGTAAAGTATATGGTCTTTCATACCATGGCTTTGTGATAACATCTGTGCAGCTTAGAAATGTTTGTCACTTAGGTTGTTAGAACTCTGACCTCCATATAAGTGAGATGTTAACATATGCCGTGTGTGTGTGTGTCTATATATGCTATGCATATTACATATAATGTTAATATACATGAGCTATGCTACTTTATATCCTACATACAGCATAATTCTATATACAGTACAAAATGATAGTTTAGATATAGCAGATTAAAAGAATTCTGTTTTCAAATATATTAACTCAAAATAGTTCACATCTAGCCAAAACTGCAATATGCTAGCTACTTTTAAAAATTTTTCTTAAAAAAAGAAAACAGTCAATATCACTTATCAAGATTCTACTGTATGTATAGTTCTATGCTAGGTGGTATGGAGAGATCCAATGTATTTCCTTTATGTTAGGTACAATATAGTACCAAAATTATAACACTGTCCTTGAGAGGTAATATGGAGTGGTGCACAGATGGCTGACACTGGACTCAGGGAGACCTGGGTTCAAGTCCTGCCTCTGACACATACAAGCTATGTGAGTACAGTCAAATCACTTAATCTCTCTGAGTTTCAAACAATTGTTTTAGGATTATGAGCTGTAGATGGCACAGATGTACCAGCAGAGTTTCCTATACTGATTGAATGGCCTAAACAGAAAATCCTGCTATCTAACATTAATATCTTAAGATTACCTTATAAGTAAGAGTGACTTATAACAGTTATTTTGTTTAGTATTTTATTAATTAAATCCCTTTGGGTGATAGTGGGGACAGGGGTCTAAGTTGACAATTACCTTATGCAAGTTTCTATGAATTATATCACTGTATCATAGTGAAGTTTCTGTATATTTAACAAAGCAAAAAAAAAAAACTACTCACTGAGAAATAATGAATTCAGAAGAAAGGAAGATGAAATTTGTGAGGTTAAGATTAGTGACTACTTTTAAAGAGAAATAACTTTTATTACTTTGAAATGGATTTCAAAGTAGTCAAAGTGCTGGCTAGCAGAGGTCCTTATCAAAGGTGCTTTAATAAATAAGAATGAATTATAATAAGTTCATCAATTGGCAACAGGAATGCCGAGACATATTTTAAAAGAATTTCCTTTTAACAGCTTCAACTACTAAACTAAACTCCTATTTACAGTGCCACTTGACATATAATATATAAAGAAGGGATCTACTAAACAGAAAAAAAAACCATACAGTCACAAATTCTGAATTGCTACAGTATGAATAAATTTATTTCCACTCGCTTCTATGAAGATTTTTCCCTTTTTGTTTCATTAGGGTTTCTCCCCCTCCAATTACTTCCAGATCAGCAGCTATGTTCTAGAGGGGTGAAGGGTCTGTACAGGAATTCTTGACTACGAAGCAAAATACATTACTAGCTAGTTTTATAAATACTACATTGAGTAAAATCTTGATTACGTAGAATTGTTACATGAAATTATTAAGGAAGTCTGGTTAATTTCATTTTCTGGTAAAGGAATCCTTGATCTGACCCTTATTCCTGAAAATCTTTCAAAATTATGTTAATTCACATAATCAATTTAATAAGTAAGTTTATGCTTTATGGTTTATGATTAGACAATATAATTATATAACACTTTAGAGTTTACAATGTAGTTTAAATATATTATTTTATTTGATCCTCACAATAACTCTGTGAGATAGAGAGGTTAAGTATTACTATTCCCATCCTATAGGTGAGAAAACAGGAGCTGAGATGTTAAATGAACTTGCCCAAGATCATACAACCAGCCTCAGAGTCAGGGCTCAAAGCAAGGTCTTTTGACTTCACATCCAGCACTCTTTCTGCTGTTAGGTCCAAAAGACATAAGTTACCATAGGGTCAGCAGAGATTTAGAAGGCTGGGCTGAGTAACTACTGTGTCCAGGACAGTCCTTAGAAGTTGTCCTTATTTTCCCCCAGGACACATTTTAAGCTATACTTTTAACATAAGCTTTTCTTGTTATTTGCCTCTTTCATAAAAATGATTGCAGTAAAAGTCTGTGTTAATATCTAATTGCAATTAGTTAGGTTCCAAATAACTGATGTAGTATTATTTGTCTACACAGTAAATTCATTTCTCAAAGCCACTATGGTTTAAACATACTAATAATGTGTAAGACATGTAACCATAAAAGGATGACACTGATTTGTGTATTGTTTTTGGAATTAGCCATACTACTTTGTAGCTACTTTTCCCTAGCATAGTAAAACCAAATATTACACACAGAATGTACATGGCAATTGAGTAATCATTACTATGACAACAATCTCACATTTGATGCTATTTTAACTGTTTAAGTTTCAACTGCAAAGCTTAAATTTAATTCCAGCACTTAATATATCGTTAGAGCTAGAATAGGATAACATTACCTGAGGGTCAATAGCAGATTCGTTAAGAATTGACTGAGTAAGAGGGTCTCTTTTTGACACAATAGGGCCAGAGGAGGAACCAATCTCAGAGTCAGGAGCTATTGTTACATTAGGATAGCCTACAGAAGACAAAGAAGCAAGTCACAATTATTTGGTTAACTCACTCAGCTGATTTCCATACTGTTGTGTATTATTAAAAGATAGCTCTCCATTTATATATAGTCTTTTATGAAATACTGAATCCCAAATTAAAATATACAAGTTTTATATTTTCAGTTAAGATACTTATGTGCCTCCTCACAGGGAAGAGGATAATTAGTTCGTTTTGTGTTTTCATCATCTGGAGGGGATGAGAGAGGACTGGACCTGTGATTTCACTAGGACAGAGAATTCCTGATAAATAAATTTCCTCTACCAACTTAAAGTCTCAGAGTACCTGGGGCACTGAGAGTTTAAGTTGCTTGCCCACAGTCACACAGAAATGGATCTTGGCCCCATGCCTTCCTTATTCCAAGGCCAACTTTCCATACACAGTACTCCACACTGCCCAAGTCACTAAATGTACTTTTAAAGAGAGGACTTTAAGGAAGTTTTTGGTTTCAAAATGAGATTTGTTCTGACAAAATGTTTTATCTTTTGGATTAAAATTTAATAATTAGTTGCTATGCTATGATTTATTATAATAATTAGTTGTAATGAAAGTTAAATGGGCCACTTCTTGTTAATTATATAGTACCTAATATACAGTTCCTGTAAACATCTTGAAATAAATATATTACTGGAATCCAAATATTAGTCTTCCATTAGCTATGCTACTTGTAGCTAACAAAGAATCTCAGACTTGAAAGGGTGATCTAGTCCATTCCATAAAATTCCTAAAGGACACAAGCCAGTTAAATGACCAAAGAATACCTAACAGAGATGTCTGCACAGATTCATTAGCCAGCTCGACCTATAAGTGCAGCTGGTAAGGGAAAAGAACTGTATTCAATACACACTGGTAGTGTTATTGCTAATAAAAGAAAATCTCTTATGCTTAAATTGAACAATTTACCTGTGCGTCTACGAGGAGCATCACCAAACAGATCTTTTGCTATAGCCATCATCTCATCAGATCTTTCCAATGCATCTTGCATCTGATAGTGATCAGAGAGAATCTAAAGAGAGAGAGAGGAAGAGGAAGAGAGAAGGGGGTGGAGAGAGGGAAAGAGAGAGATCTGATTACTCATCAAAAACTTCAAAGCCTAGAGAAATAACCACAAAAATATGCAAATAGACTCTCATTTTAACAACCAATTTTCTTATAATGAAGCTACTTTCTTGCTTTAACGAGTCATTCTAACATTCCTATGTTAGGAAGGGAAAGAAAGCCCCTTTAATTAGTTCTGTGTCCTCTGCTTACATCCTATATCCACTCCTGCCTTCATTTGCTCTCTTCCTACCCATCTTCTCTATTTTATAACAGCACACAAGCAATAACTGGTATATTTTAACTTAAGGTTAGGACATAGAGTCTTTTCTTTTCCCACTGTCCCAAGTTTTTATCCTATACAGAACTGGGGTAGGGGAGAGAATCGCCCCCACAATTTTCTCTTTTGGTTGACCATCCTAAATTTACATCTGAAAAAAAAAAGGCCTTTATTAACAAGAATGCACACAGCAAGAATGCAGGGAGGTAAAGAAGAAAAACTTGAGCACCAAATCCTTCTTTTTTAACTTTTCTTTTTGCTTTTTTTTTTTTTACTAGGCAATGGGGTTAAGTGACTTGCCTCGGGTCACACAGCTAGTTAGTGTCATGTGTCTGAGGCTGGATTTGAACTCAGGTCCTCCTGACTCCAATGCCAGAGCTCTATCCACTGCTCCACCTAGCTGCCCCTATTTTTTTTAAGGCAAAAAACCTACTTTTTATTGCTTTACAATTCACCAGTCAGACAAGTAAGACCCCTCTTCTCACCTTTCCTGATTCTAAGAACCTGCACAGGAGTTTCCCCAGTTCTAACTTTATCTCTCTCTGAGGAGGGTAAGAAGATCCTTGTTCCTTGGGCCTTCGACAGCTGTAGGACAACTAACTCTTTGCTCTAATTCTTTCCTTACCTGTATTTGTCCCAAACATTGCCACTTCTTAGTACTTATTAATACCAAAGAGTCCACAGAGCTGGGATAATTACAAACAAGAGGCAGGACACTACCCAGTGAAGTTGAACTGATGAGAAAGTGAACAACATCACATTTGACGTGGAAGCTGGCCAGGTGGCCAAGCACAATAGGACAGATGCTGAGGAACTTTCAGGTGGAGGTGAACCAGAGCTCCCACCAATTATATCTTTGAAGTACCCATCCCCTCTTTTCTATTATCACTAGCATCATCTTAATCCTGGCTCAAACTATTCTAATCACTTCCTAACCGATCTCTCTGACTTTAACTTCTCTCCTTTCCAAGCCATCCTTTAAACTACTACAAAAGTAACCTTTCTAATGTAAAAATTTAACTATATCACTCCTGTTGCTAAAAATAAAACAAAATAAAACAAAACAAACCAAAAAAAAACCAGTGGTTCTAATTTGCCTTCCTAATAAAATACAAGTTTCTTGGCTTGGCATTCAAGGCTCTTTACAATCTGCTTCTAACCTGCTTCGACCCTTAGTTCATATTATACCCCTTTATACTTTCTCTAATCCTTCCAAACTGGACTACTTGTTATTCCCTGATCTTACCCTGTCTTCTTCTACCTATCTGAGTGCCTTTGCATTGTCAATTGTTATTAAAAAAGCACCCATGTTATCATCAAAAACTTTACTACAGAAACTTAAGAAGCAAAGAAATAAGAAAAAAGAGGTATTCCCCTCCTCAAAAAATATTAGCTATCATCATCGTCATCATCATTATCATCACTTGCCTGAGATCAAAATCATACAGAAACATAATGAGGTACACACCATCCCTATTTTCTCATCGGCTACCATAGTTGTATGGAGGATGCTTTCAGTAAGCTTACAGAGAATATTTATATCCTAATGCTTTTAATTAACTATTTATTCCCTAATACTTTTAATAAATAACAAAAAGCAATGCTATTTTACATACCTGTGCCCAAAGAACATTAAAAAGAAAAAAAAATAGCATACTGGTACTTTCTCCAAGATTATTTTTTCTTTTTCTTTAATATAATAAATGGAATCTATTTAAAACCAAAGGCCAACATTATATGTCATGAAGAAATGCTAGACACCTTTCTAATAAGACCAGAGGTAAAACAAGGATATCAATTATCAACACTCTTGTTTGGATTATTTTTAAGGAACCTGGAAATTTACAGAAATGATAGCCATAGCAATAAAACAAGAAAAATAAATTGAGGAAATAAACATAGATAAAGAAGAAACAACATAATTCATTTTTTGCAGATGATATGATAGCCTACTGAGAGAATCCTAGAGAGTCAACTAGAAAGCTAACTGAAATAATACCTTTTACAAAACAGCAAGATATAAAATTAATCTACATAAATCATCAGCCTTTCTGCATATTACCAACAAAATTCATCAAGAAGAAACAGAGAAATTCAATTTAAAATAACTACAGAATGTTTAAAATATTTCAGAATCCACCTTCAAAGGAACATACAGGAGATATATGAATAAAGCTACAAAGCATGCTTTATAGCAATAAAGGCATACCTAAATGAAAGTAGGGATATTAATTGCTCATGGTTGGACTAATGTAACAAAACATAATGTACAGATATAATAAAAATGATATTACCCAAATTAATACACTTATTTAATGCCAAATCAATAAAATTACCAAAAGATAACTTTACAAAAAGAGATATAATAACAAAAAAATTAATCTAGAGAAACAAAAAGTCAATGCAAAAAAGTGAGAAGAAGGCCTAGCAGTAACAGAACTCAAACTACACTACAAAGCAGTAATCATCAAAACTATTTGGTACTGGTTTTTAAAAAAAGACTATAGTTCAGCAGTGAACCAGATTAGTTACACAACATTTAGAAGCAAATAAACGTTTTTATACACACACATATAGACACAGATGTAGATATAGATATAGATATAAATATAGATATAGATATAGATACAGTGTGAGAAACCAGGGGTAAGGACTTAGTATTTGACAAAAGCTACTGGGAAAGGGGGCAGCTAGATGGCGCAGTGGACAGAGTACCAACCCTGGACTCAGGAGGTCCTGAGTTCAAATTCGGCCTTGGACACATAACACTTCACTAGCTGTGTGACCCTGGGCAAGTCACTTAACCCCAACTGCCTCACCAAAAAAAAAAAAAAGCTACTGGGAAAACTAGAAACTAGTCTGTCAGAAATTAGGTTTAGAATATTACATACCACAATAAGCTCCAAATTAGTACATGACCTGGATATAAAAGGTCACATCATAAACAAATTAGAGAAGCAGGAAAGGAGTTAGCTTTTTGCAACTATGGATGAAGGAAGATTTCATGACCAAATCACAGATAAAGAGGATCACAGAAGATAAAGTAGCCAATTTTAATTATATAAAATTGAACAGCTTTTGTATAAACAAAAGCAATGCAGTTAAAATAAGAAAGGAAAAAAAGTGAACTGGGCTAAAAAAAATTTAACTAAATTTCTCTGGTAGGATTTGATATCAAAGATATAAAAGGAACTGATTTAAATATATAAAAAGAGTCATTTCCCAAAATATAAATAAATGGTCAAAGGCTATAAACAGTTTTCAAATTAAAAAATCTAAGCTATCAATAGCCATATGAAAAAAAAAATGTTCCAAATCACTAATACATAATTAGAGAAATTAAAATTAAAACAATTCTGAGGTTCTCCTGAATACTCAACAGTGTGGCAAAAGGAACTTTAAAAAAAAAAAAAGGAATGATAAGTTGTTGCAAGGACTGCAGGAAGATAGAACTAATAATAATGCATTGTTAGTAGATATTTATCTTGGTCCAGCTATTTTGGAAAGTGTTTTAGAACTACAGCCAAAAAAATTACTGAACTAGGCTTACACTTTGACCCAACAATGTCTTCTACCATATCTGTGCCCCAAAAAGATTTTTTTAAAATAGGAAGAAGACCAATATGCACAAAAACATTTCTAGCAACACTTTGTGTTGTAGAAAAGAAATGGAAACAAAGAAGGTGTACCTACCAGTTGGAGAATGGATGAACAAACTGAATATGAATGCAATGGAATATTATTAAGACATTATGAAAAATATTAATTTAAAGAAACCTGGGAAGACTTATATGAACTGATCTAGAGTGAAGTGAGCAGAACCAAGAGAACAATTTATACAATAACAACACTGTATAGAGAAACAATTTTGAAAGACTTACAAGTTTTGATTGATGCCGTGAGCAATCACAGTGACTCCAAAGTACTAATGGATGAAGCAAGCTACCCAACCTCTGACAGAGGGGTGATAGTCTCAAATGAAGAAATAAATACGCAGTTTTCTGAGATGACCAATGAATGTATTAGTTTGGGGTGAATATGTATATTGCTTACAAGAATTTTGTTTCTTTTTTTAAACTGGCGGTGAGGATTGCAGGGATGGGGAGAAAAGCAATCATGTTGTCCCAAAGGGGAAAAAAAAAGAGAGTCTTCTAACATTTTTTAAATGAAAAAAGAAAACAGAAGGAAGTTCAGAAGAAAACACAATCATCTTTGAAAATAATATGCCAAATCTATTATACACTTGGACAGAGAACATATAGAGATTATCAATTTTTTACTATTCTACTGTGCATTTGGAAATTGTAGTTTTTTCTTTTGTTGAGTAAGTGCAGAATCTTAGAAATTAAATTTAAAAAGTATAGTAGTAGGATGGTGACTTGTCCCACAATCATTTCTATCTGAACCTCAAAGAAGAATGAGATGATGATAATAATAATAGTAACTAACATAGTAATTTAAGGTTTGCAAAGCACTTTACATGTTTCCTTATTTGATCCTTCAGCAATCCTGTGAAGTAAGTTGATTATTATCCCTATTTTACAGATGAAGAAACTAAGGTGGACAGAAATTAAGTAACTTGCCAAAGTGAGGATAGGATGAAAATACAAGGCTTCTAGATTTAAGCCCATCATTTTGTTTATTATGCTATATTCTTATGCAAAAAGTGGCATAAATAACATTATCAA